AAAAGCCCTATAGTGTATTTCCTGTTTAATGTCAGATGGTAGACTATTATAAAATTTAACACACACATACAATGACTTCTCTCTGTTATAGACAATTTGTGAAGTGGCAAATTCAAATTAAGGCTTTTTGTATTATATTCATGATTGGGAAACAGGTGATAAAAACAAAGAAAAATTTTTAAAAAGGAACATAATACATTCAAATATATAGATGGCTGAGAAAGTGAGTATATTAAGTGATTTGAATCGGCCTCTACAGGATTCTCCTGCCTTTAGTCCTAAGATCACCTGGACTGCCTTTTTTTGGACTATAAAGACAGTTGAGCTATCTATTGCAGCACTCCAGAAGATTACTCCATATCGCATAACAGAATAAAAGTTTTCATAATATACTGATAGTAAAATCCCCTGGTCTAGATAGCTCTTTAACACTCTTAATGAGTAGCAGGCTCTATTCAGTTTTTTTTTGTTGTATCTTGGATTTGTTCCCCCCAATTCAGATTTTGGTCAATATGAATACCAAAAAATTTAACTGATCTAGCAGGTTCTGTGTTTTCTGATTTTCTTTTCTTTGCTTAGAATTTGCTCTGCCACTGTGAGGAGTGTTTCTAAAGCTTTTTCCCAGAAAATCACATTTAAGTAATCAGCGAAAGTCACAAGTTTTGAGGAACTACTTACCACCGCATTTGGCAGGTCGTTTATGTAGACCAAAAAGAGAAAAGACCCCAGAACACTCCCCTGTGGTATACCTAATTTTAAATTGATCGGTTCAGAGTAAACCTTACATTCCCTTTTCTCCAGGCATACCTTTTGCGACCTATCTTTGAGAAATGATTTTATACATTTTAATGCTGGTCCCTGCATTCCTTCCATAAAGATGTAATTTTTGTAATAAAAAAACATGATCTAGGCTATCAAAAGCCTTAGATAGATCCAAAAAAGCATCCAGTGTTTTCATCTTTGCCTCCAGTTTTTCTAAAATTTTTGATATAAAATCATAGGTAGCTGTCTCAACAGATCTCCTGCGAGAAAACCATGCTGTGAACTACTAAATAAGTTGTTTTAGTTGTTGTAGTAAAAAGTTTTGTAGTCTGAAATATTTTTAACATTTACAAACTCTAGGAGTTGGAGAAGAACTCAACGTTTCGGCAGGAAACCCTTGCCTTTGTCAAGATTCTAAATGTATATGTATAAGGACAAACAGATATTGTAAAATAAGTATATACATATATATATATATATATATATTATTATATATATATATATATATATATATATATATATATATATATATAATATATATGACTTACCAAAACGTAACACGTGAGACAGACATTAACGAACTGTTTTTGTTTTGTTCGGTTTTCAAAATTTTGATGTTTTCAAAATCAAATTTATGCTTCTTCCCGCTTTCATTTTTTGTGAGCGCAGTGACGTTTTTATACCAAATAAAAATTTGAATATGAAATTGAATTTTATACCAAAATATAAAAATCAAAATTGGTATTCTTTATTTTATTTAAAGGAGTAAAACACTTACCAAGTTTTGCCGTTATTTATATCAATTGGCGTAAAGGAATACAATAAAATTTACAAAAAAAAGAATATTTTAAGTCTTCTTGAAGACCAAACCAATTTAAAGCCAATTTCAATGAATATCTTTAAAACTTTTTATCCTTCTGATTTTTCAATATTTACTTTATTGCAAAAACAAAACTTTAAAACATTTTACAAATGAAGTCTACTCTTGAGTTTAAATGGTAACGACAATGATGTCAACAAACTTCATTCACAGTTGCAAAATTTTCAATTTAGAACAGAAAATCACTGACCTTTCCTTCGTCGATTGTATTTAGACCATACCCAGAATTGTCCACGCTCCACAGCAATGTGATCTGCCACTATTCGCCTCGGCTTTCTACTTTTCGTATCTGCAATTCTCCTGCAGCGACTGTACGAAACACCTGACTCAATTCTCCAACAATTAACACTTGAAATTTAATTCTCCAAGCACTTAGCTACTTCTCAAGGACAGAAGGACCTCTTTTTGTCAACTTGGTGCCTCCAAACTATTTACTACGTATTTCAGAATCTGTCCACTTTAGATCCAAGGATATCTTTTCATCGAATTGTAATCTCCTTCCACAATTCTATTAACTTCCTTTCACAATTTTCAAACTTACAAATACACCCTCTATCAAGACGTAACCTTTCCTTTCGATGATCAAATGACAACTGCCCCTTTCTTTCATATATCGACTATCAATTCTCCCATTAAAAAAAACTGCCCAATCAAAAACTATCTTAATCAATAAATTTTATAACAATACAACTAACAACAAACCCAACAGTATCGAAGCCACTTATACAACTCTTCCATATATAAAAGGTTTATCCGAACAACTAGCAAATCTTTTAGCCAAACATAATATAACAGTGGCCCACAAAGGCAACAACTTCTTAAAGAAATATTTCACAAAACTAAAAACACAAACTTCAAAACTTAAAAAATCACATGTTGTTTACGAAATACCATGTACTAACTGTGAAGGTGTCTATATCGGTCAAACCAGTCAACTGCTTCAAACCAGTATTCGTTCTCACAAATATGACAAGAACAACGTCACTGCGCTCACAAAAAATGAAAGCGGGAAAAAGCATAAATAGCACTCAAAGGTTACCGACACTTTGGTTTCGCAATATCAGTTTCTATTTCATCATCCTTTCAGCAAGCGTTCCCATAGAGATACCCCCCCCCCCCCCCTGAGAACAATTAAGTTCTGTTTTTGATTTGCTCAATATATATATATATATATATATATATTATATATATATATATATATATATATATGTAAAAGAATCAACGGTTCCAAGCTGTTCTCCGCGTGTAGAGGTTCTCTCACCGGCTCTGGAACTCGCTTCAGCCATGTGTTACCTTAGCCAAATTTAATTTAATACTGAACATCACAGTTATTTAACAATACAATGTATAATCTTTTATAACTAAATGTAATTTAAAGGGTTTTTACCCTAGTATTTTGGTGGCTCAGGCATTGTGACCTAGCATTTTTTCGATTTTAAAACCTGATGATGGACTGTGTGGTCCGAAAACGTTTGTTTTATTGATGTAGCCCTTTTAAGGGTTTTTTAAATAAATATACCCATTTACGAAGACTAACCTCTTTTTGTGATACGTGGCATACAGCCAGCTACAGGAATTTTTTTCCTTGTGGATTTCATCATACAGATCCAAATAAAACACCACATCTCTTAGATTTCTGTGAGATTAAAGGTATATCTCTTAACTACTGCGCAAAAAAGTCTCGTTGGAAGCTTTTGTCAGATCATTCTCTCATTCTAATTAATTTAGACTCCGAAGTCATACTCAGAAGTAAGCCTTCAGTCCTAACCAATAACAAATAAGTTGGAAGATATTTCAAAGTGCATTTACAGAACAAATATCAATGAACTTGCCACTCAAAACAAAAATACAAATTGAAAGCGCTGTACAATTCTTACTACTTTCATACAAAAGGCAGAATGGAGCATTACTTCTGAACAGACAATATAAAAGAAAAGGATAAATTGTTCTTGAGGCAAAAGCCTTGATTGAAGAAAAAAGAAAACTAAGGAGAACGTGGCAAAACACACATGCACCTATTGACAAAGAAAAACCTAAACAAAATTACCAGAAGACTTAAAAATATGTTAAAAGAAGAAAAAAATAAGTGGATCCAAACTTATCTAGAAAATCGGAGAACGACAATAAGAAATAAGAATACGAAGGAAAATCTAATACAAATATATACTTCATCTAATTTAGATAACGACTTACGTCATTATCTACGTCAGAGATCGAAGTTGACATAGTTGCCAAAGTATAAAAAAATCCTGACTCCATTTTAAATCAAATAGATTACATAATTATTGCAAAAGTATTACCATCTCTTTACAACGACTATTTAAATTCTTACGTGACATTTTTGAAATAAAACACACTAATTTTGTTCTAAAAAGAACAGATTTTATTAAATAGTTAAAAATATAAAACAAGAGATATTCACTTTAAAATTCAAAATAATGAAGTACAAAAAGTGTCAACACCGCAACTGTCAAATAAGTGTTACCAATTTATGCCAAAATTTTACCTTCGTTCGATTACAGTTACAGTGTGTTCCGAACAAATGTTCTTGATAAAAACGCTTTATAATGCATTTATACAAATTAAATGAAACATATTATTGTGTATTTCTTTAAGTTAACATTAATAGAAATTTTAAATATTATTTCTACGCGTATATAATAAAATATGTCTAGTGGCTGTAATGCCAGTGTACTCGGTAAAGTGATTCTAAAAAAGAACACACCTACACCCTAAATATTTCGTGTTGGTATCATGTGACGTCACAGGCTATGACGCCGATGACGTGCATCGGTATAGTAAATTAGATGAAGTGTAGATAGATAGTATAAGTGTGTTAATAAGAACTTTTCACACGAAATCCTAATCCGAACAAATGCAGGCCAGCATTATGTGCTCTGTTCCTGCTATATCTAGTAACATATCGAACTTTATCTGTATTGCCTACTTGGGCTACGTCCAGTTCAGCGACTCGGCAATCGAGGATGTGACCAACAGGCAAAGCACAATAAAGTAACTTTTCTATGGGTGTCATCAAATAAAGGAATTATGTGAATATGAACTAACAATATAGATGTAGAGTATATATAAAAAAATATCCTAATTCTATATAATCATGCTGGCATAACACTATCGAACTTCAAATTTTTCTGTATTATTTATCGTCTTGTGTTTTTGCTTTCTTGTACTATAAGTAGAAATGAGGCGTAATATACAAAATAATAAGTAACGTTATATACGTATGAGGAACCACAAACGAATACAAACGAATACAAATCATGTGAAAATAATAAACTTTATAAAAATAATTATATTAAGACTTTGTGACTATTGCATGGGCTAAGATTACTTTACATACCTTAGCTATTGGATTTTCAATTATCTCATCAGCCATATTAGTAAACGGAGCTTCTAAGAAAACGCCTGCAGGTTCTGTGATTTTCTTTTTCAAATTAAATAAAAAATGTGTCACTAAACTAGTACCTAAAGAATGACCCCAAAGAAATATACTGCCTTGTGTTTTGTTAGCAACCCATTTATAAACAAACTCACAGTCTTTAACGAGCTTCGTTTCTGAGGGTTGTTCGTTCGTAGAATCTGCAAAACCTAAAACAAAACTAAATTCTATTGGCCAAAATTTTATAACGCAAAGATTTTGTGCAATACTTGGTATAGATAAACAAACATATATGAGGGTCCTTGTAACAAAGTCGGCAATCTCCACTTTTTACCAAAATTAAGTTATTTACAACAAATTGTTCGTAGTTTAAAACACTATACAAAAATTAAGAAAATAAGAATAAAAACGGTATTATACGACTATAAAAAAGCATATAAATTTAGCCTAAGAATCAAACTCGGTAATCTCCATGACCGGTTTAGAATCAAAGTCGGCTATGACGAATGAGAGATTTCGCAGCGACCATGTGATATACCCAATAGGAGTCGTTATCCTTATAATTTCTCGTAGTTTCTTTTCAAACAAGGTGTCAAGCTGTTTGTTTTTTAAATGTCGTTAGTATATTAAAATGGAAACCATTACAACTCCTGTTGAAAACAACAAAGCTGACAAACGGATTCGCAATCCGACCACATGTTGTCAAAATATTGCGGAAAAAATGAGGTACGTTCGTTAAATTTTAGTTGCTTTTTTTACTTAAAAGATATGGTTTAAGAGCAGATCCAGATTCAGATTTTATTCATATAATTGTTTTAATTTATTGTATTAATTTTAGCACAGACACTAATGATATCTCTCTTACACATACCCTTCCTCTTTATCCCCCTATATCTCCTCCTTGGATCATCTCCACGCCCAAATTTAACACCTCGCTCACCAACTTCGATAAAAATAAACATCCGAAAGAGATCATTATAAATGCATTTAAAGACATTATAAATACAAATAGTTACGACCTAATATTATACACGGATGCCTCAAAAAATGACACAGGAGTAGGCTGCTCTGTTACAACCTCTCATTCACTAATTAAGTCATCACTTATACCATCCGTCAGCAGCGTTCATACTGGCGAATTATTTAGTATATTGCAAGCTTTTAACCATATATATCCACCTAATAAGCAGGTTGCCATATGCACAGACTCTTTAGCATCAATCCATTCTATCAAAAATATATTTACCGATCATCCAATCGTCCAAAAGATCCTAGACTCTTACCAAATTATCTTGTCCCAAAACATAACAGTTACCATAATTTGGCTGCCATCTCACATTGGTATAGAAGGCAATGAAACTGCAGATCACTATGCTAAACTTGCTACAGCATCACCTGAAATCACCGATAAAATTCAAATTTGTAAGGACCTAAAATCATATACTAAAAGAAGAACCAGACTCCTTTGGCAGCAGCATTGGAACTCTAACCGTTCGATCTTACACGAAATACAACCGTCAATAACCAGTCAGCCTACATTTGACTATTCAGCCCTGTCAAGACGAGATCTCATTGTGATAAGACGACTACGGATAGGACATTCAAAACTCACACACGGCTACCTAATGTCCTCTAGCATCCGTCCCTCCTGTCAAAGCTGCCAATCATATTTGACAATCAAACATATTCTCACTGAATGCCATCAACATTCGGCCAGAAGATTACAATACAAACTCAAAAGTGAAGTACGAGATATCCTAAACGACCCTGACCAAATAAAAGCTGTGCTACATTTCCTTAGAGATGAACACTTATATCAAAAAATATAATTAGATTTTAATTTAGACATTGTGTAACATATTATTATCATTCCGTATTATTGTAACATATTCTTAATGTAACACTTATTGTTTGTGTAATGAAAACTCATGTTATAGTACCTGTATAAGTGGCCATAGTAGCCGAGCAGGTTAACGTCGAAATAAAAAAAAATTATTGTATTATTAAAAATTATTTTATATGTTCTAAAAAACTAATAAAAAAACTAATGATTTGTTTAACCTACTGTTAATTTTTTAAAGGCCGGTATTACAAATATTTTTTGAAAAATACTATCTTTCCAGGTACTCTTTATCACAGTTACCAGAATTCCCTACTTGCGGCCACAAAACGAAGACCTATCAATGTTTTTCTCTAATAATGAGCAATATCAAATGTTTTCATGATGCGTTTTATGCAGCTAAGGACAAGATTAGACAAGATTCCTTTATTTTAAAATTTTGTATAATTCAACTACCTAAACGTCGACATCCAAAAACAAGTCTGTGAATTGCATTGCAAGGAATAGTGTAATAAAGAAAAATATTACAGTGTGCGAGAAAGCCTTTTTAAATATAGTAAATACTATGAAACATCGCTTCACATACACTATGAAATTATTTATGAAAACAGGAGAAGCATCAACGGAAAAAGTGAGGGTGACAGAAAAACTGCAAATTTTAAAGGAAAACAAGGATCAGTTCAAAAATTTATTAATACTTAAAGAAGTATTAAATCGTATTACTGTCGCTCTTCCACACATACCCTACCTTTCTTCCGATTTGTCAATACAAAAGATGTTCCAAATGTATATTATTCAGTATTAGTAATAATGTTTAATACTAAGTATAACATTAACTTTACTACTCCCCGTACAAAATGTGTATTCCCTATGCATTGAAAGAAAAAATCCATAAAGTAAGGGCTAATGCATTTTTTGAATTATTTAAAGAGTCATAAGATGATCTGATAACACTATCTTTCGATTGTCAAAAAATCTCGTGTATTTCCAAGGTCCCCGACCAAAGTGCATACTACTCTAGGCAACTGTATTTGTCAAAGTGTTTAATTGGAAAGAAATAATCTCAATTGTTTTCAGACCCACTGGTACATGTCACTTTTCTTTTAAAAATACAAATCGCCTTTTCCTAAGAAAACCAAAAACTGGAAATATAACCATTAGAGTAGAAATTGAGTACAGAACTGATAAAAGTAAAAGTATTTTAAAGAAAGGTTGTACGATCTATATGATTGACCCCGTTATTATAGAAAGTGTTCTGCAAAAAGTAAATTCACTTAAGCCTAAAGAGGTTAACAAATATCTCACCAAGCACTTTGGAAATACTTGGAGAACCATGGAAGAACTTCTTTTTTAGAAAAGTTTTTTTAAGATATTATCTTCAATAATAATCAACTAGAGTTAACAGTTCGGGGAGGAAGTGATGATACAGTTCCAGATACTAAAGAAATAATAGAGGAAGCAATTTGTGAGTTTTTTGAAGAGAAAGTCTTGCTGTTTAATTTTTATCGGCTATTATAAATAAAATAAGCTGTAAAACTTTCTAAGGTAACACCTTTTATTATTTTTTTGCCAAATTTTATTATAAAAACCGGCAGTATACACCTTTTAGTATCAAAACCAAAAAAAACTGTTAATAATTCTATATAGGATATGATATAAACAATGATATAACTGTTAAAGGTATATCATTGTTTAGTGTTTTTTTCAAAAGTCAAAATGATGGAGATTGTTGTAAAATTGTTTTTCTTTATAAATATATATATATATATATATATATATATATATATATATATATACATATATTTATATATTTATATACATATATACATATTTATATATTTTATTGAAAATTACATTTTCTAATTGTTTGATGTTTTGATTTTCACTACGGTAAAGAATGTTTAAAATTTTCTCAATTATTCCTCAGAAAATTACTTTCACGCCACCTATGTCCATATACTTTACTAGACCTATTAAGAATACCTCTTATGCAACGAGTGATTTATCACGCCTGTTTGTAATATCGAAATAGCTCACAGTAAGTTGTCCTTGCTCTTATTATCTTTTGTTATTTAAATAGAAAGTCTTCCTCTTAACAAAACAGTTCGTTCCTATTATTGAACAAACCAGCTTACTTCAACAACCGCGTCGATTATCAATGCGCTGAGCTTTCGACATCCTCTTGTATGTCTTCTTCAGGGTTTCCGATGTCTCAGTCTCCCGAGCCGCCAGACACTACTACACTAATCACTAACCAATGCATTACTGTTACTAAGAATAGAGGATGGTTCATTTATACCACCGATGGTGACATATTTTGGGTGAAGGTGAGCGTGGGTATTAGTGTGTGATTGGCGCGAACATTTCTGACAGTAGGATTTTAATTGGCGAGTGCAGCAGACGATATTTTCTTTATGAGCGGTCTCCAAGTGAAAAGTAACCGTATGGCGCCATCTCTTTTATTGAGGCAATGTGGCCTTTTTTCAATTTCTATGGCGTCTCAGGTAATTCTTGGTTTATTGAGCGTAGACTGAGATTGAGTCGAAATTGCAAACAGAAATGGAATGTTCATTACTTTTATCTTGAATTCTACGAGTTGTTTGGTCTATATACGATCGGTAGATAGATAGGATCGGTGATATAGGCAGTCTGCACAAGGATTTTCATAAACTCCGTGTTGTTCATTTTGGTCATTGATTGATCGGACAAGAGATGAAAGTTTTTGTTGGGGAGTAAATGTAAATATTGTTATAGATATATATATATATATATATATATATATATATATATATATATATATATATATATATATTGTTATATATATATATATATATATATATTATATATATATATATATATATATATTGTTATATTCCTAATTTGACATGAGAATGTGGCAGATGTAGCTCAGTGGCTATGTTACTGGCTTAACACGCTGGAGGGCCCGGGTTCGAATCCCGTCACCGACAAAATTTTCACTTTCTAGCTATTATACAAAACAAGATTTTATACCAAGAAGGAAAAAACGAAAGTAGACAAAACGGAAGAGAGAACTATGAACTCAGAAATCGGCAATGGAACGAAGACAGGTATCGAGAAAATCAGAACAGAAATAACCGCACATATCAGGAAAACAGATATAATAATCGACGAAATGAACAGGAATCTCGCTGGAACCGATACGCAAATGATAGACCTAAAGAAAACAGAAGAGAGATAATAATACTCAAATAGAAAATGTGAAGATAGGAGACAAAACGAGGCGAGAAAGCACAGAAAACAACAGGCGCGTTTTCACGAAGGCGCCCACTAAAAACAAAAAAACAAACAGGAATATTTTGTCACTCCAAGGAATTTATTAAACTGGCA